ATCTGCTCCTATGATGCTGCTTGGCCTGCTGTGTTCATCCAGCCCTGCACCTTGTTGTCTCGGATTCTCCAGCATCTGCAGTTCCTACTATCTCTGATTCGATTTTAATCCCTCTCAGACCCATTGTTTCCCTACCAGGCACACCGTCACACAAATTGGCCAAGGACTTACAACAGAGATTGAAACACCTAGTAGACGGATCACCCCATTCTATCCATTCAACCTAAGATTTCCTTGATACCCTCAAGAATATAAAAATCAGCGACGACGAGATTATGGTATCCTTTGACGTCACAGCTTTATTCACATCAAACGACATCCTACTAGCTGAGATAACAGTAACCACATTACTAGAGGAAACAGCAAGGACAACATACATAAATTATTAGATCTCTGCCTCACCACACACTTCGTCTTTAATGGTTAGATATACAAACAGATCAACTGTACACCAATGGGGTCACCCAACTCAGGACTCATTGCAGGAGAAGTCATGCAAAGACTAGAACACACCACCCTCCCCCGCATTCAACCTAAACTGTGGATCCGGTACGTAGACGACACATTTGTCGTTATTAAATGCAGCAAATTAGAAGAGACCCACCACCTCATCAACAGCATATTCATAGGGATTAAATTCACAAGGGAAGAAGAAAACAACAATCAACTTCCGTTTCTGGATGTTAAGGTAGAGCAGGTGACAAACGGGGAGTTCCAAACCTCAGTATATGGAAAAGCAACCCTTAGGGATCAAATCCTCAACTTCCACAGCAACCACCCCAATGTCCATAAACAAAACTGCATTAGGACACTACTCAGAAGGGCCAGGACACACTGCAACACTCCAGAACTACGCAGAAAAGAGGAAAAACACTTATACAAGATCCTCGCTTTAAACAGATATTCCCACAACTTCATCCACAGATGCTTACATAACAGGAGGACACAGTATGCCCTAACACACTGACCACAATGCCCTACATTAGGAGCATATTGGAACTGACAACAAGACTCTTAAGACCACTAGGAATCATGGTGGCCCACAGGCCCACAGTCACTCCAGGACAAACACTTATAAGGATTAAAGACCCCATTCCTACAACATGCAGAACGAATGTGGTTTACAAAATACCATGCAACGACTGCCACAAACATTACATCAGTCTGACAGGAAGGAAACTAGCCATCAGAATACATGAACATCAGCTAGCAGCAAAACAGCACGATGAACTCTCCTTAATATCTGTACTTTCAGACAATGAAGACCATTTAACTGGGACAAGGTAACCATAGTAGCCCAAGCCAAACATTGACATGCACGGGAATTCCTAGAGGCATGGTTCTTCACCCGTATTTCAATCAACAAACATTTAGAATTGGACCCCATGTACAAACACATACAGATCAAAAACCGAAATGACAGTCACCATAACAGACCAGACAGTATAAATTCCAAGTGGAGTAGAATAACATCGCTTCATCAGAGGCTCCACTGATGATGTCACCTAGCATGGTGACGAAACGGCTGAACAAAAACAAGTCAGCTCGGCGAGCAAGTCAACAACCTCATCCATAACCCGAGCTACAGATCTTTGCCCACACTTTAAAATGCCAGTACTATTTTAACTTTCAACAGGACAGGATATGCATCTACTCTTTATTCACTGGCAGTCCAGACAAAGAGAAGCCCAAAGATATATATTCATTTATTTTTATGGGAGCAGGAGGAGTAGAGGAGCTCCTCTGGGTTCTAAAAGATATCCTTAGCTTCTGACACTGTGGAATCTCTTTAAGATCAGGCTCCTTAAGGCATGTGATCATACAAACAGACCATTCAGCCCATCAGGTTGGTCATTCAGTTAGATTAGGGCCAATCTAAAGCTCAACTTCAGTTCCATACCTCAAACTAACAAAAATGATATATGTCAGTTTTAAACCCTTCAATTCCTCTAAACTCAGCAGTATTCTAAGGAAAATCCTTGCAAATTTCTCCTACTAGTGTACCTTGAATTGCCTGGCTCTAATTTATCTACTATATGTTCTTGTTCTGGTCTCCACTGCCTGCAGAATTGGTGTTTCACTATTTACCCTAATGACTTATTTAATCACATAAATGCCTCAATTGGATCACCACCTGATATACTCAAGGAATGCAAGCTTAATCATCCTCTCAATTTAGGCTGGGTATTATTCTTGTGAAACAAGAACTGAATACAATATTCCAGTTTAACTAGAGTTTTATAGAATTGTAGCATACTTCAATAGGGTTAGACCTCTGCCAAATTCCCCAATATTACAGGGTCCCAAACCAACTCTATCCTGCTTCCAAGTACTCACTATCCTGTCTGAGACCCATGGGTCCTACACTAAAGTATATATCCCTCTGGGACTATTCCGGAATCCTCCAAAATCTTAAACATAGGGACGATTTACCTCATTTTCTCATGCAATTGTTGCTAATTCTGCCAGTATTTAGTATTTTACTTAGGATCAGGCCAATACACACTTGGCTAGTTTGAATGGATGAGAATGAAAATACATGCATCAGGTTTAGATTTCTGAAACAAAAACACCTTTCCTGCAAAAAAATGAAAAATAAATGATCACAATATGTTGCTCATGGTGTCAGGAAAGCATAAAGGGTCATACCTTAAATCAGAATCTCTCAAGGTATACTGGAATCATTGAGGATTAAGTTGTTTTAAATACGTGAAGCTTGTTTCAAAAGGAAGGGGCATGCTAAACATTGGATACCAAACTCTGCTTGCATCTAATCTACAGGAAGCAGTGGTTAGGAATGAAGCCTCAAATTCCTATGAAGACAGGAAATTGAGGAATAAGGATTTGTGTATCTTCAATCAAGTTTTAAAAATGAAATCTGAGCATCTTTGCAGAGATGTTAAGAAATATGGAGGACAGTTAGAAGTCATATTGCAGCACTTGAGATTGATTGAATTGACAGTCTTGTTAATTGCTGTTCTGTATCTTTACTATATTGTGGAATAAACTAGCTCAGATCGACATCAGGCTTTTCTTGACCAATATTTTCAGGGCTTGCTTTCAGAAAGATTGGGAGATACATAAGTTACTATGTGAAGACATCAATTGTCAGTTTGATTCTCAACAAGGTACCAGAGTGAGATTCTCCACTGAATACTACTGTACAATTAGCAATGAAACAATATGAGTCAACTCTAGTAACAGTGAGACAGACAAATCACTTATACAGGAGCAACCAATATCATTGAACTCCAACATGTGTTTATGCAAATCCTAAACTTATAACACAAACGTGCAATTATTTGAGACAATGTCAAGTTTTCAATTGTACTGAAATGTTCCTGAACAATTTTAAACCTTTCAATTTGATTTTATAATCTGGTGCTAATTTGTATTAAGCTATACCAGGGACAAAATGTTCATCCATGTTTGATAGGAATTTTTTTAAATATCAGAACTGGTATTTGAATAGACTGCTAATCTATCAAAAATTCAAAGAATACAGTTATTTTGTTCTATGGGAATAGCTAAGCAAAATACTTACGTACAAAGACCCATAGTAAGGTCCATGTTATTAACATAATAACAAAAATCATCAGAGTAAAGAAGATAATTTTTTTGTGGATATAGAAACATTCAGTTGTCTCCTTAAATTGACATTTAAATGGTAACTTGGGTTTTCTCTTTCCTTTTCGTGGATGTTTTCTTTTCACAGGCAAAATTCCATCCAGGTTGTTCACGTCAACTGAGATTTTGGAAACCTAAATGTTAAAGAGAAGAAAGTCAGCAACAACCTGCATTTTTAACATTTTAACATTGAAAATAGTTTAAAAGCTTCACAGAAAGTTTTTGAACAGGAATGGAAGCCAAGTGAAAGGAGGATTTATTAGGAAGGGTGACCACTGTCTTGGTCAAAATGGTGGGTTTTGGGGATCTATGAGGAACAGAGCCAGATACAGACAGTTAAGGGGAGCCATTATGTAAGGGAATCAAATTCATCAGAGAAGCACCTGTATCTAAAAGGCAGGATTCAGGTATAGATCCTACAATTACCTTTCATCTATTTGCCTTCAAACTGCAATCTATAACAAAAATTAAAGTCAGTTTGGAGGTAGGAGTGCTAATCATATATGGTATAAAATGGATTTTGCACATCTGAGTTCGTGTGCAAAATGCATTATAATCTATAAAAGAAAGTAAAAAGAATTGAATTATCATATTGACCAGGAATCTTCACACTTCTGCACATTATTAAATTAATAACAGCATATTCTATTTTCAGTAGAAGCACGAGTGACCTTAGTCAATATGATCATTTAATGTCAGTTATAAATAGATGGACTTTGGTATTAGCAAATATAGAAAATGTTTAATATGTTCTTGGAATAAAATTGCATTTGAAACTTTATAATAGTTGTTTTAATCTAAATATTTGGAAGTTTAAATCTGACTGTTCAGGCTAAATGGATTCAATATTCCTTTGTCATAATGTTATACACTTTACCCTTATACTTAATCTTACAATTGGAACAATAATCAACAAAAAGCCTAGGAGAATATAAGCATGAAAACATCTTATTTTCAAATACTTACAGCACCATGGTTTAAATAATAAATAATGGAATTATACAGCATCTAAGATAAACATAGCTACATTATCCAGGTGACTGTATAGTATAGTATGTCCTTCCATCTGGATACTATTATTTATGAGGAAATACAACACCACACACAGTAATGGACAGTGGAATCAGGATTACAGTTCATCACATCCCTGGAAGCCTCAATGAGCTAAACAGTAAAGCTGCAATTTCCATTAATCCAAAGTGTGTTTAATGTCATTAACATTGTCTTTAAAAGGTACCAAAGAAAACAGTGTACTAAAATTAATTCATGTTAGTAGGTGCACTTTCAAGTCCACACATCAGTCCCTTCATTAGGCAAGTAATGAATATTCAAATCAGATTTCCCAAAATTATTATGTTATTTAAACCAACATTTAATCGTCACGGAGGAAAATTTCAGATCATTTGTGAATTTGTTGAGCTTGTTCCAGAAAGTGACTTTATTATACATCTCAAAGCCATAAAAATGTTTCACCCTAAGTGGACATTAAAGGGATAATGATAACAAGAACAAATTAGAGCTGCTACTCTGAAAGAAATCTCTTAGCTGAAATACCTGGACAAATTATGTACGAATACCTTTCTCAGCACTTTGAGATATTACTGTCAGGATACGAAATGTGCTGTCTACAATAAGTGGCCGACACCTGTCATACCTCCATATGCAACTCACACTTTTTATGCATTGAATTTTGGCCTGCTTGACTCATCAATAGTGGCCTAAAGTGAGTCCCAGTGAAGTGGGAAGGAACACGGAAGAGCAATGACAAACATAACCAGCAGAAGATTTTTTTTGTTTAAAACAGTTTTATGGTGATTGCATTCAAACCAGTAAAAGGTTCCACAAGGAAGTCCAGCAGCTTGTCCATAGGGCAACATTATTTCTGCAGGATTCTAAGATATGAACATAGGGAAGGAGCACCACATTTGTTTAGATGGCTACCCACTGCAAACAAATTATTCCAACATCAGCTTGACTTCAAACACTTTTTAAGATATCTTTGGTATACCTGTCCTGCAAATTTAAAATTTCTGCTTCCATTTTCCACTTGGTAAACTTGAGCTTACAAATTGTTTCCCTTTTATGTTTCCGCCAGGGAAATTTATTCTAATCTCCCTTTGGAGCATTCCATTTCCACTGCAGTTGAAAAGATAGATGATTTAAATTGAAAACTACTTCAAGAATGGCCTGAAACAGGTTGATTCAATGGCCTTGCAGCATTCATACATTTTTATGTTCTCATATGCTCACTGGTGGAAAAAAAACTGTTTGCTATTGGGCAAACAAAATAATGTCTGAACTTTAAAACGTGAATGATAACTACTTTTTACATATTCTCTCTAATAAGATTGCACTTTCACATACATACAGACATAAAGATCATTATCCTGTGTAATTCAATAAAGATCATTTAAAGGATGCTCACAACAGTAGTTTTCATAGTATATTAATTATGGCAGGAGACAAAGTCAAATTATGAACAGTGCTGTATTTGAAGGACATCATATTAAAATCTGTGTGTCAAAATGTATTCACAGCAAGCAATATTATTACTAATTTCCATTTGGGATGTGCGTTATTCTGATCATCACACTTGAAGACGATACTAAAATTCTCGCAAACTTGGACAGACCAGATGCAGGGAGGATGTTTTCCCTGGTGGAGGAGTCTAGAACCAGTTGATACACTCTCACTATACCAGGTAGACCATTTAAGTCTGAAGTGAGGGAAGGTTTATTTCCTCAAAGGGTTGTGAATCTATGGAATTCTCTATCACAGATGAGTGTGGAGGCCAAGTTACTGAATATATTTAAGAAAGACATAGATAAATTTTGAGATGTTGAAGGCACCAAGGGCAATGCTTTGAAAACAGGAATTTGGCATTGAGATAGAGGATCAGCCAGGATCCTAGTGATTTGATTTGATTTGATTTATTGTTGTCATGTACCGAAATATAGTGAAAAGTGTTGTTTTGCACAGTCTACTAGAATAAACTATAGCTTCCACAATATTGTTCTGTTACTGTGGATGTTGCTTTATAGAATTTCAGCTTAAATCTCCATTCTGATTGAAATTCAGATCCAGGGGTACAATGTTATCACTCATAGTTCACCTTGGCCTTGGTACTAGTAACACAGAAGTCAAGTTTTCTTGAAAACCAGAATTAATTTTATAAATGTCATACTGTGCTCTACTTGCCCCCACTCCAATATGTTCCATCCTGTTCAACGCATCTTCTGCTCTCTATCCCTTTTGCACTCTGCTCTTCACAATGTGCTCCCCATTTCCTTATTCTTCTCCCCTTCACAGTTGTGATTGTTCTCTTTCCAAATTGGAGCAGCAGTGCTTCAGAGACTCAGGCTCTTACACTAGATTAGTTCAGGTATCTGCAGCCACCCGAGAACAAAATCTCCTTCCCGGGGAGCAGCGGCACACACATTGCCAGTGGCTGATGAGGTGCTGTCACAGGAGGGGCACCTTCTGTGGTCTCCACCTCTCCCTCAGTTTATTTGATCTCCTCACCTGCAGTGAGACTCTATGAGGGAAAGGAGAAAGGTCTGAGTTTCAGAAACAGTTTGTGCGGAGTGAAGGGTAGGGCAGCATTTGTAGTGGCTGTCTATGAAATATCTGGGTGACAGAGATTATAGAAAGGAGATTGACAATGAGTATCGGGTGCTCAGATAGAAATAGAGAAAGGAATAAGTGGAGCTGTAGGGTGAGTTATCCCAGGAGTGCAGTGCAGGTGAATGCAGTGAAAGTCAGAGACTGGCCTGACACCTGGAAGTGTTAGCCCACTCACCTCTCATGCCCTCCTGAGGTCCTGGATCTTCTTGGTCCATTAGCTTCAAGTTGGAAAGGCCACAGTTCTGCTGAATTCCTCCCACTTCCATCCATGTCTGCTCAGTTTGAAATGTTCTTCCCTTCCTCCCATACTTGAGGGAATTTACTTCACTGCACCTAGATAAGAGTGAGAGACCCAGGGAGCAACCTTCCCAGATCTCCTCACTATTGCTACACTTTAAGCAGATTCAGATATCTATGTACTGATGAGCCATTGTAATACACATCATAGTCCCTTTCATTAAACATCCTCCATTTCACAGAATGGATGCACCATCCTGCCCACTCTTCCCAATTGGCTTGAGATCCTGGAGAAAGAAGACTCACGCTGTAAGTCAGTGAAAGAGCCTTAGCAAAGTGTGTTTCTTTTCTATTGGGGTTCAGAACCAACAAATGGACCTGCCATTACAGCGGAGACTAAGTCTGAAACCTACATCTATCAAATTATTTGTCTTTCCCCAGACACTGCTAATGTTTCAAACATTTTCTATGTTTATTTCAAATATCTTCAGCTATCTCATCAATAACAACATTCAGGAGCTGGGCCAGTAGATGGCAATTAATATTTGTGACATACAAGTCTCAAACAATGACCATCTTTGAGAAGAGAGAATCTAACTGGTTTCCCCCAATATTAAATGACATTTATCTCTATACCATTGACATCCTGCAGGTCACAATAGATCAGAAACCAAACTGTCCAACCATATATATACTGTGCCTACAAAAGCGGGTAAGAGGTGGGAGTTCTGAAGTAAGTAACTCACATCTTGGCTCCACAAAGCATCTATGAGGCACAAGTCAGGAATGTGATGGAATTCTCTGCAATCCTTAGATGAGTGCAACACCAAAAACACTCAAGGAGCTTGACACCACTCAGAGCAAAACAGCCCATGTGATGGAAACCCCATACACTATCTGCAACATTCACTCCCCCTTACCAGAGCATGGAAACCTGTAATTTCTTCTCTAAATCCAACACATTCTTGATTTCAAAATTTATCACCATTCCTTCAATATCACCAAGTCAACATATGGGAACTCTCTCTGTAACAGCACAGTGAGTGCCCTTATAGCCCATGGACTGCAATGATTTGAAAAGGCAGCCCATTAGGCAACTAGGGATAGGCAGTAAACACAGGTTC